GTAGCATGTTGTGTGTGTGTGTGTGTGTGTGTGTGTGTGTGTGTGAGCGTGTGTGGCTCTGCTGGGGTGTAGCTCTCACCTGTCGGGGTTTTATCGGGAGCAGATGGCCCTTCGGAGACACAGGAGCGATCAGCAGCCTGTAACCTGTCACGTCTCCAGTGGCCTGACTCCAGGAGAGCTGCAGAGAGTTGTAGCTCAACTCACTGACCTGCAGGTCCCTGGGACCGACCACCTTCTCCGTCACTATCACACACAGAGAGAGAAAGAGTAATTAGAGTAATAAAGAGAGAGAGAGACAGCGAGAGAAGGATTGACACAGGCCAACAGATGGAGCGAGATTCATTTCTACTCGAGTGAAGCCACGTTCAGGCTGTGTCTCCTCTCGTGAGCGTGTTCGTGTTGCGTGTCTCACCCAGACGTGTGTGTTTAACAGGTCGAGGAGGTTCAGAGGCGGTGAAACACACTCGGCGTGAGATTTTGGGCAGCAGGCTCTCTAGATAGGATGAATCAGGGCTGAGCATCAGGTGCTCCTCATGAGGCTCACTCACTATCCTCCTCAGCTCCTCCGGATCAGCATCCCTCACACCTGAGAAGCACACACACACATTTGTTGTTGTTTTTTAGATTATGTATCAATTATGAATTATGTATGTAATTTAATGTACGTAGTATATGTTAATGTATCTAATTGAAAATATGTCCTAAAAATGACAATATTTCCAAAAAAGCACTCTTTTATGGTGGCTGACTCTCAAATGGTGTTGAGTCCACTATGCAGGTTCTACAACACTATTATCACAACCTACACAATATATAGTGTAAAATACTGTATACTGTATAATGAATAAAAGGTTCTTCTCTCTACACAATCTTCTTTTTATAAGAAATTATACCCAATTATTACTATTATCTCTTCTCTAATCTAATCTATTTCTATTCTATACTTCTGAAAATCTTCATTCTTCTGATATACAATTGATCATGGCGATTCTATGAATATGCAAATTAGCCTATGACGTCACGCGGCAACTTCCAGCAAGTTTTCAAGCACGCATCAGTTCCTTTCTGCTGAAAAGAGTTTGCAACGCTGTGTGGATGTGTGCTGTTCTGGTGTAGATGTACAGAGCCAAGCTGATTTATTCAGGCCTCTCTGGGGCAGACTGATTAGGGAGTCTGAGTGTCAGAACATCAGAGGGGAAAAGGAGACAGGCCTGATGAGAAATCGCTGCAATTAGCCGGGCACTCTCTAATGAGCTGTAATTATTTCTACACTCTGGGCATCGAGATTGGGCCAGGCGTTAAAGAGCCAAAGCAGCAAAACCAACCGCTGACAAATGCAAGCTGCATCAACACCTCCTTATTTGCTGATATACAGTATATTGATGGATCTAATGACTAATCCCCATGTTAACCAGAACAGGAAGGAGTGGTGTATAGAGGATGCTGCTTACCTACGGCGAAAAGAGAGATGCCACTCTCCGCTATTGCTTTAACCGGTCCATCGATCACGTCATCTGATCTGCCGTTAGTAACGAGCACTGCAATCTGAAATCAGACAGGAATATATTACAGTGGGGATCGTTTTTTTTTCTTTTCTGTGCACTCTAAACAGCAGAACGCAGCAAGAAGATGCTCAAAAAGTACAACAGGTTCCCTTAACTAATATTACCTACTGCATTAACAAACAAAAGTACTTTAGCATTAACACAGCATTAGTAATGGCAAAGGAATTAATGTCAGAATTAATTATTCTAAATAATAAACCATGTACGCCAAATAGCACCTGCATTAGCCAGAGTTTATTCCATCTATGAGTAAAAATAGGTCCATGATGACCATCATGAGCCTTAATTAATGTGTTAATGTTGACAAAAAAATTATAAATTAAAAAATGTGAGTGAACTGTGGGTGCCAATATTTATACCCTGAGACCTGAATTTAGGTTATCTGATTATCAACATGTAGTACGCTCATTTATATCTACTTATGTGTTATTGATTAATTATACCACGTTAATGCTGAATTCTCAAGTCTGATTGGTCAGAAGGTGATTAATTTTCTATAACAAATCATGGGCTTATAATAATGTGCTCGTTCTAACATGTTATCATTTCTATAGCAACAGTGAATTCACAGGGATGCTCCACAAAAACGTGTGTAATCGTTGATGTGGTGAAGTTTTCTGTAAGGAGATGTTTATTTAACATTTTGCGGAAGGAGTCTCCGGTGTCAGTGCTTTGTAACAGTCTGAGGAAAAGCTGTAACTTCAAGTTTAGGTCTTCAAGAAAAAAAGGAGAGAAAAAAACTGTTTATAGCTGCTATACCGTAAGCGATAATGTAAGGAACTAACTTGTTTTGGATGTTCCACGACATTAAATGTAACTATAAACAGATTAAAAAGTAGGACGTGTTAGGGTTGGGAAAGAATAAAACATCACACCACGCTGTGGTTGATTAGTTTCCTATAACAGCACATAAAGTTTCAAACTTTACCTAATGCTGTAAATAAGGTTATTTAAGGGAACCTTAATATAAAGCTCTAACATATAATGTGCAATTTTATAGATCATCTACTTAAATCCATAACAAGCTCGAACATGTCAGACCTGCATCAGACAGAAACGATTATTTGTCATTATGAAAGCGCGACTGCTTTTATATAAAGTTCACCTGAAGTAGAGGTCGAGTTCATCAAAATTCACCAAACAGCATTATGCCTCGGTGCGTGTGTGCGTGTGTGCGTGTGTGAGCCGATTTTAAATAAAAGCCGATATCTCTGCAGTTAATTACAGCGAACCTCTCCTTTGCCTGCTGCCTCATTTGCACATCAGGTGCTCGTCTCTGCAGGACAAGCAGCTGTACGTGGTCTGAAATCCTAATGAAGTCCTCGTTTCGATGCAGCAGTGTCCTAACTTTACAGCTACTATATTAATATAAAACCAAATGTCAGCTCCCTGGCTGGAGAATACATAGAAAAAGTGATCAAATATGAGATGCCTCCTTTGTTAAGGTTAAAAATGCTTATTCCAGCAGGTTATCTATCCCGTCTCGTAGGAATACACACATCTGATTATACAGTACAGCATCCATGGTAGTTGGTCAGGTAAATAAAAGAAATGTTTGTTATCTATTATCACACCTTTGGAGTGTTTTCCCGGACAATCGACGGGCTAAAGACTGACTCCACGAGGAACTCGAGGGCCACACCCATGCGACTGCCTCCTCCTTCATACGGCAGTTCCTCCACTGCGTGTAATATCTCATCCAGGGTGGAGTAGTCCGTCAGAGCAACACGCATCCTGACAACAGAAATACACCAACACACTCTCTCTTTAATACTGTATCCTAAACATCATCCCTGGCTCAAACTTAACACTGATCCTGAATACACCCTCACTTTAATGGTAACATTAACCAACACTACACTTACTTTAGTGTCAGTCACACACAGTTCCTTTTACGGATATATGCAGAGGTTTAATTAGGATTTAGGAGTTGATGGAGGGCGCCAACAATAAATTTATTCATGTGGTATCATAAAGAATTCTCAACACTGATGTCATGAAAATGGGAGTGAACCAAGTTTAAGTATCTGTTATATATGTTTCTGGATTAGGTTAATTACCACTGAGTGGCCAGAGCTTATAATGTGTTATAACAGATACAAATTCAGATAGACATAGAAGGTGCATTAATTTGTTTTTTCCACAGGGCATCTGGTTGAGTCTATAGGTTTGCATCAGGACTAGGATCCCACAGAGCATAGCAAAAAAGTTGCGCAATAGAAACACGTTCGCCCTGTTGTCTGGAGATCACAAGTCTGAATCAGAATTTTGTGGTAGCTTCGATTCTGGAAAGCGTATTCAAAATAACAATATAAATGATACCCCTCCCACCCAGAGAATACGGCCACTTTTGCTCTCTTGGAGCAAAACACTGGAATTGAAACTCCTGATTTACGGATGATGGGGCGAAGCTATCAAATATAATCTGACCCTAAATAAATGGCAACGCACTTCCTCCTTTATAAATTATTCCACACAGTGCCCCTTGCAGTCAGCAATATGCACATAATAATCCACCTTCAGAACTGTAAGCAATAGGAGGTTGTGTTGGTTTGTCAGTTTCAGCATCAAAATGAAAATTTTCAGGGTTTTTTTTTTCCAAAAGTAGCTACATAAGACAATAGATGCTTTAAACTAGGAAAAAGAACACATTAATAATAATAATAAATTTTTATACACTATAATTAACAAGCGCCTTGACATTTTGAAATGAAAACATTTCCCTACGATTAATATTTCCATCAAATTATTTAATTATTTTACTCAGAACTCCGCCCATTAAACCCCCGTACATATAGTCAGTGGTGTACGCCTTGTCTATTATCCTGCACCTGGCCTGTTGCTTTCCTTTACTTCAGTCCCTCAGAAACCTTGTTACAAATTCTTAGCATAATATTCCTTATTAAAGCCAGAGGATTTCAAAGTGGCTGACTATGGATTTTTTTTCCCCCCAGACAAATAAGAAAGGCCTTGGAGGCATCATACTTTCTGAATATTCTTGGGCTGAGCTCTGAAAGCAAGAAAAAATAATTCAGCTGCTTAAGTGGAATATCAAAATCCTCCTATCTTGGGTTCTATCATGGTATAACAGTTTATCAGGATAAAAGAGGCATTTGAATGATAGAACCTTCAACAGCCAGTGGAACTAAAATAGCATTACAAATACCACAAAGCCTTTATTTGTCACATATACTGTACATTGTGAAATTCATTCCTCTGGAGTCAGAACACAGGGTCACCCATAACACAGCAGAGAGGGTTAAGGGCAGCCTGCCAGTGTTGGGGTTTGAACCTCTGACCTTCTGAACCCAGAGCCTTAATGTTGGCCATTTTTTTGTGTTTGAGGCATAAAGCAAGCTGCATTTAGCAGAGGATGGTTTCGATCCATCGACCTCTGGGTTATGGGCCCAGCACGCTTCCGCTGCGCCACTCTGCTCCCCCATACAGGGCTCGAACCCACAATCCCTGGCTTGGGAGGCCAGTGCCTTAGCCATTAGGCCACTGGGGTTGAAAATTGTTGCTAGAGAATGAACCCAGGGCCTCATACACACAAAACATGCACTCTACCACCGAGCTACATCCCCATCAACCCCTTCCTGTTGTTAATAAACATTATACCTGCTAATCCATCTGGGGGAATGTGAGGGAGTGATCTACTATACCTTGGAATGTCTGCATATAAAGTGACTCCGAAGCGGACGCCTTCTGATCCGATCACGCTGCTCTGGAAGGATCGAATCATTTCAGAGATGAACTCTTTAATCTGGCCAAAGCTGGAAGGACCCACTGACCACGACTCGTCCACCAGGAACACAATGTCCGCAGGCAAGGCTGTGCGACACTCTGAGAGGAAACAAGTCGATACATTTCATAGAGAAAGCTATGAAGTCAAGTCAGTTTTCCTGTCATCCCATTTACACAGAGATAGACAAAGGGATGAAACAGAGTGCCTTCAAATCCACAGTGCAATTCACAAAACAAAACAATTCACAGCTCAGTACACAAAAGAAGGCATGTGATACAAGACAAAATATGTTATTGTTAGTGTTATAATGAATATTTATGTCATAATACTCACATTATGGTGTTTTTAATGACTGTATTAATTATACATGGATGTATTTGTTTGCAAATTATTCATAACTGAATGCCAGCAGTATACAATGTAATTGTGGCGTTCTTCAACATTACCACTAGATGGCAGTATGACCTCAGAAAAATAAGCACTTCCTAAGTAGGATTTTGGCAGTTAAAACTTGCAGATTTTAAACAGAGCTGGTCAAGCTGTGGGGTGTGATAGGGACAGAAAGGAAATATTACATACACACCTTTGATTCCAACCCAACAAAATCTTTATAAACAAGACTCATATCCTGTATAGTCACCAGAGAAGGGTTGCAGAGCTTTGAAACCACCATGTTTAGTTATCTCAAAATTCATTCACTCATCTTCAGGAAGCACTTTATCCTGGTCAGGGCTGTGGTGGATGTGGTCTGTATGCTGGAAACACACTTGGTGTAAGATGGGAATACACCCTGCGGGGATGCCAGTCCATTGCAAGTTACCACACACACACACACACACACATAGGGGCAATTCATCATAGCCAGTTCACCTTACTGGCATGTTTTCGGGACATGGAAGGAAACCGCACGGGGAGAAGTAACCCAAGCTCAGGATTGAACTGGGGATCCTGGATCTGGGAGGTGGCAATGCTAATGCAGAAAGGAGAAGAACGAGGTGGAGGGAAAGAAGAAGAAGAGGAAAGTCCAAATAAAAACCAGAGGGTTATGAGCACTTTGTGCTTGGCCCCCTAATTAAACTAAAACATGCAATGCAGTGAACATCGCTAGTTTCTCCTGTTTAAGCTTTTGTTTATATTTCTCACCTCAGAGCTGCTCACTTACTGTCTCTTACCCTTGAAATGTGAGGAAACACACAAGGCATACATCGTTTTTTCATATGGTGTGGGTTTGTTAGGGGATAGCATGTTAATTTTTTTTAGTGTAATTGCAACACTCCTTACAGGCAGCAGAGAGCTCTAAAATTACAAACTGCTTCTTTAATATGCAAACAATCAAGGCCATTCATGGAAAGGAATGTCAGCCTGTAGGTTAATGTCAATTTATAAAGAGGATAACATCTGGAGTCAGATGTTTAAGTGTGGATTTGACCTGCTTTACCATATACACCATGTTTTATGATCACAGTCCCAGACACCTCAGGCAAAACACAAAAACACACACATGTCAATGCTCAGGGGCTACAAGAGTGGAATACAGGACGTGACTGATACATAGAAACTACACACAGTAGGCAACCTGCTCTGATCAAGTGCAAAGACCTTTCAGAGGACCTACTAATCTGGAATGGTTTACTGAAGGCCATCACCAGTCCAAAATGTTGTATCCTGCTAAGACCAGTGGCAGGATATGATGTAAAATCCTAAGACACATGAGAAAGCACCCTAAGATGAGGAATGACGATTTTAAAGCATCTTTTGCGCTTAATGTTAATATGTGCTCAGGCATAACAAGCTGACATACAACAGCTGTTCATGAGAGGTTACTATAAACAAAAGAACAATGTTCATTTACACTTAGTGTAACAAAGGCACACAGTGTTATGCTTAAAACCTTATTTCCAGTTGTAAACATAGGGGATAGAACATAATGCGTGACTGCTAAAGCGCCTGGACAGCTTGCATTTTCTGAGGCACAAATTAATTCCAAGTTTTTCAGCAGTGTTTTAGACACAAATGTAAATAAGATAAATAGGAAACTGCAAAGTGCAAACTCCTGTCAGAAAAATTTAAGTTGCTGCTTTATGTCTGACTGTTACAAAGTGCTCACACTGGAGACTCCTTCCAAAAATAAACGTCTCCTCACACAAAACTTCATCATATCAACAATTACATACTTTTTTTTAATGCCATTTATATAGAATGTCCACCATACATGTCTCTGTGTAAGGTGTTACTATAGAAACAACGACATATTAGAACAAGTGCATTAGTATAAACCTGTGATCAGCTGCACTACACTTCTGACCAATCAGTAGTAGAATTCAGTAGTGACGTGGTACAATTCACACATATGTACGGATTAACACACGACAGACCTGGAGTGTGTTAAGCCGCTTATACCGCAGCGATGTGATAGATCCTGAAGAAGCCATGCTCGCTTTATAGCATGTCAGCTAGCTGGCTAGATTGATTTGAACATTCCTGTTAATTTTGTATTCCTTCTTCCTTTTCATCTTCATCTGACCAGCTTTCATATTTTAAGTTAAAAGTTATATTCCTGAAAAGTTTCGTTTGCCATGTCTGCTGACTGGACTTTTTTCACTTTAGGGATTTTAGGGAACTGTAGATAAAAGGTAGAAAAAATGCATAAATGATCAGTATACTCATTGAACATTGAGTTGTTATAATATTTTATATTAACATATTAATATTAATATTAACTTGTCGTTCATGTTACAGTGAGAAGTACAGTCCTGCTGTTATACGAAAATAATGCACACCTTCTGACCAATCAGATTCGAGACAACTCAATGTTCAATAAATACACTGATCATTTATGCATTTTTTTCCCTTTTATCTACAGTTAATAAATTCCCTGAAGTGAAAAAATTCTCCAGAGAGGATAGCCAGACTGGAAAGAGTTTATGCTTCATACCCCCAGAAGAAGAGTTACATATTTACAGTGCTGCTACACTCGCTACTTCTCCCATAGCACAAATCCTCATCTCCATTTCCTTTGAAAGGTACGGTACATTAAACGCACGATTGTCTATCTTTCCGGAGAAGGCACGGCGGCACCTCTATTCTCAACTTTAGCATTTAGATTAAGCGAGCAATCTCAAATATGCATTATGTCTCAGTCTGGGTTAACTGCTGATATAATATCTACACTTTTAGATGTATGTTTGCAGCAGTTACAGAAGTGTGTGACTAATGTATGCGTCCCAAGTATGAGGAGCTGGTGTCAGGCGGATAATGCTGCAGGCCGCGTCATAGATTCAGACAGGTCCAGCCAGAGGCCGAGTTAAGAACAGGCGAAGTGGAAAATCAGTTCAAGCAGACAGATGCTATCTGTCTCTGACTGTCTGAGCATGCAGGTGAAAAGCAGATGCACCATGAGGATATGAATCCAGAATCTTTCTTCTTCTTTTTTTTAAACCGATAAATCCAGCTATGTATCCTTATGTCCTTCCTTTCTACCTGCATCCATCAACTCAACCCGAAATATAAATAATCCAAATATAAGAAATCCAAATACAGCACGAAAGGAACCTCTATCGACTTTGTATCTCCCGAGGGATTGGCGCCGAGAGTGACGGCAGTATAATACAGAGGTGATAGGCATGATTGGATGAAGGCAGGATCTGCATCCCACAAAACACAGCTCAGAGCTGTGGTATATGAGCTGGCAGTGTTGAGGGGAAGTCACTGTGACATATACAGTTTGCCGTGTAGGACTGTGTGGGGATTACTGACATTTAATTAACTTACATGGTGCCTTCGAGAAAGATTATATTCGATTAAAATCATTCAGCCTATCGGCAGTAGTTCAGTACATGGTGTATGAAGTGTAGCTGGATGCATCTGATGTTAAGCTTTGATATAACAGTGCAGAGAATCAATGCATTTTTTTTTTTCAAATGCACAATTGTCCAGGACTGAAACTGAAAGCTGCTTATAGAAATTGAGTTCTCAGATATAGCATGCTCTTTTTTCCCCTTCCAATTTAGTCGTTTGCTTTTCTATCAAAGACAGCTAGCAAAAGTTGAAAAGTCGAAAGTTACAAGGTTGCTGGCACTGCAGACTCCCTCCAAAACGTTAAATACATGCTTATGTGGCGCTTTTGCCTTAGTGTAAATTGTTACTATAGAAACATAAGCTGTCTATAGAAATCAGGGCATCATAGATCTCATTCTTGTTTTTTCGCCAAATTTGATCTTATTACAAAAAGCATGCAGACCCAAGCTGTAAGCCGTCAGCCGATATTTACCACAGAAACACCAGCATTATTATCACTTTCACTCACAATGAAAATATTGTTCACCTCATCTGTCTTTCTCAACACCACAGAGTCTAAACTTATGCAGGATATAAATATTTTCATGGAAGAATGCCTTCACAGATCTCAGGGTGAGGTAAAATCTTTTTACCCTACTAATCATAGACATAGGCATAACTTACTCTGGGAACCACTATAATTTACCACTAATTTAAAAACCTAGCCATTAAAAATCTTTTATATAATAGCTTGCAGTAGAAATACATTCAAATGTTTATTTCCATTAATCGCTTTACAGAATGATAAAATTGTGGACAGGCGAAAGGGTTTGTAAAACTTCTATCACCGACCGCATCGTTTTGCTAGCTGTATTTAGTTAGCAGAGAGCTAACACATACTGAGAATGATGAGTGTTTTTGTTTGTTCAGTGGTAAATGTACTGTAGTCGATAGTGAGGTGGTAGTCAGAGCTAGATGCTAACAAT